CCCCAAAACCCCAAAACCCCAAAACCCCAAAACCCCAAAACCCCATTTTGATTAAAATATTGAAGAATAAATCAACTTGTCACAAATCCAAATCCCCAGTACAGGAGACTGCTTGAAGCCTGATCTTCTGAATATTTCGAATGAATATTTGATCCCTTTAGAACACTCAGATGCTAGCTTAAGCAAGACTTTTATAATTTATGAGAAAGCTGTTAAGAAATTGGAGGTTGGAGGTCTTTTGGTGACTGGACAATCAATTCATAGGTTAATGCATAAATCGGGGCTGATAGCTAGGGTTATAATAAGACCTTGCGGGTAGAATTGGGATTATATTTAAGCCATTTATTTTAATTTTCTGATGGTACCTAAAAATTTATAGGTATTTTATCTCTTTTTAGCAGATAGCATCTTCCAGTGATTTCATGTCAGCTCATATTGGTTTTATAAACACTACCCAAAAGGCATCTCTCTGGTACAATTCCCTTAAGACTTATGACACCCAGTACAATACAAAGGTCAAACAGAAGGAAGAAGGAGTTGACAAGAAGAGATAAAAGAAGTATGGGGTTATCTAAGGGTTCAAATTAGAAAAGCCGATTAATGCTTAGTGGTAAAGAGAAGTTAAAATACGGGTTTTGGGAGATAATGTTCGAAATGCGCGGTAGAATGAGAAATTAGACCATAGAACTGATGATTTTGTAAGTTTAATTCTGGAATTTTTAAATAGAATTAGAGATTTCCTAAAGAACATAAAATAGAGAAGCTAGAATATACTGAATTATTAAGAATTAATCTCCATAATCAGTACCTGCTTGAGTAGAGACTTCTTCCTCATACAAAAGGTACTCATCTCCTCTTCTATGATCAGCTGGGACTTTATAAAGATCAGCAATAGTGTTAATACTAAGCCCATGATATTTCACCTCCTTTTGCTTAACTGGAAGAGCTCTACCCCTTGGAATTGTATAATCTAGCATAGCCTCAGTCTCAACTTTAGGTGCTCTTCTACGACCAACATATCTTATACCCCTAAATACCTTTTTCATTTGCTTCTTCACTCTAGCTTGTCTTTTCTCTTCATCTCTAGCTTGTCTTTTCTCTTCATCTCTAGCTTTCTCCCTTTCCTCTTTTTCTTCTTCCTCTTTTTCAGCCAGTTCTTCACATTCCTTCTTGATATCATCGATATAGATGCTGAGCTTATCGTGAAGGATGCTTTTATTGCTGATAAACATCTCAAGCTTCTTTTTAAACATTGAGAGTGCTTCGTTTCTTGCATTTCTGAATTTCCTTCTTCCTTTAGCAACCTTCTTCCACTGGTATTCAATGTATCTTCTAACAGTGGGTTCGAATAGTTCAGGATCGATATCTTTGAAGCCTTCAGCGAGAGCGATGCCTTTCTTAGTTGGTTTGAATCTTCTAATTTTATCAGCTCCTTCTTGGACAGTCACATATCTTCTCTTAATGATTGTCTCGATGTGGGTTGGAATAGTTCCATCAGTTCCGATTCTGTGCTTCTCCATTTTCTTGATCAACTCAGGCTCTGACAAGAGTTCCTTAGTGGGGGGGAATCTCTTTTGCACCTTGAAGCTCTTTACTCTGTATTGCTTGTTCTCATTAAGATTGGCTTCAGAAATATTGAGCATTTTCTTTTCCTTTTCAGTAAGAGGAAGATGTTCAAGATACCCTTGGTCCACAATATTACTGAATTTGGCCTCAAGGGTTTCTCCTCCAAATTTGAACTCAGAAGTTACAGTCTCAAGAATACAATCATGACTGATTGATGCAAAGAAATAATTGGAAATATAGTTGTACAGCTTCGAACTTGGAGAGTTTCTTTTCAACCTTCTGTACTTACTCACATTATGGACTGGAGTAATAGGAGGGTGATCTTGTTCCTCATTATTGCTTAGTTTCGGAATCTCATTCTTTTTCCTTAATTTATAAGCAGCTAATTTAAAATCTTTGTTCCTCTCGAGCATCTCTAGAACTTTATCTTCTTCATAATCTTCATCATAAACTCTGCTGTGAGTTCTTGGATAGCTTATGAGACCATCTGTGTACAAACTCTGGGCATGCTTTTTAGTGTCCTCTACAGTGTATCCAAATTCACTCGATGACTTTGAAAGCAAGTCAACAGTGTTCATAGGCTCAGGCTTCTTAAGTTTCTCAGTTTCGTACTCTATCTTATAGACTTTAACAAACTTTTCAGTCATTGTTTTTCTAATGTAATCTTTTGCTTCCCTCTTTGTCTCAAATTTTCGATGCTTAAATTCAAGCTCAAGCTCCACTCCTCTCTGAGTCTCAATGGTGATGACTGGAAGCCAGTATGGCTGAGCTAAAGCATTGTCTATCTTGGCCTGCCTTTGATAAACAAACCAGAAAGTAGGAAACTGGCAAGGCCCATATGATGTTGTGAAATCTTTCACAACCCTGAGGTAACTTTGTAGTTCATTAGATAGTAAGACTGAAAAAGATATTCCAAGTCTGAGATCAATCTCTGATCTTAAATCATGAGCTAAAGCAAGTTTCTCATCAGGGTGAGTCTTCAGATTATTGAAAGCATCAAAAATGCTCTTCCTTGAAAGAGAAGAGAACTTAGCTCTCATGATATTATCTCTTCTGTACCAGGTTTTAGAGTAAGGATCATTCTTATCAAACCTGTAATTCTGCAGCATTCTTCTAATCTGGAAGCAGATGTTTTCGCCAGAGGTGTCATTGTCGAACCAGAGTACGATCATATCTGAGCCATCAATGTAATAGCAGAGGTGTCTTACTAAGAACTTCATATCAGCCTTCTTTTTCTTTCCTTTCATGTCTTTCATGTTTCCTCTGGCAGGCTTGTTCTTAATTAACTTTAAAAAATTTATTCACAACTAAGCCAGATTTATAATTTCTAGAAGCAAGCTGGGGAAAATTTTAAATCGTTAATTCTCTTTACAGGGAAAATATAAAATAGGAAAAGAGTTTAGGATGAACAATGAAACCCCAAATCTCGGATAGAGGAGTTCTAACTTGATTGGAATAAGCCATATTGAAGATTCAGTGGATAAGGCTACATTAACGGAAAGTTATAATTTTAGCACTTTTTAAAGATAAAGAAAATAATAAAGCTAAAATGCTAAAAAGAAACTCAAAGTTATAAGAATTGATTGATGTTGTTAGTCTTCTCAAAAATTTCCTCCAAACACATGATAGAGGGTGATAATTAAAGAAAATAGCTTATCATTTGAATAGGGCTCATTACTTTAGACCAAAAATCACTACCTAAACTGTACATGTCTTGATTAATCCTAGTGTATTTATCAAAACCTCTATTAATTACTTCAGCTTCAAATGTTTTCATGGGGTTTCCTTCTTTTCTCAAGATATGCTCTTTCTGGAATGCATGTCTAAAGTATAAACAATCATTACTTACCGATAGATGTGACCATAGACGGATAGAATGTTAAAATTTGCAATCATTCCCTTGTATTCGCCTTGGAATTGTAGTACTTTGTGGCCCTTATAATCATCTTCATACCACTCAGATCCTTCTTCAAGGAGGATCTTGAGCAAGGACCTAGCTACCTTGGGCTTCTCTGCTATCATGGCAATATTGATGACTCCATTCTCCTTGTAAATCTTCTTAAGCCTTTTATTAAGATCAAGAGCGTAGAGTTTTCCTTCCTCAATCTTTCTCTTTTTCTTAGTTAGATCTATGAAGAATTAGTCAACTAAAGATCTTTAGAAACAATCTTATTGATACACAATGGGCAAAAGAGGTCTATTTTCATGGCTAAAAAGCCAGATTAAGAGATACCAACCTCTTAATGAGCCTATTACTCATGCTTCGAATGTGTTTGGGTATTATGAAAATTTAGAAATAATTTTTAGTCGCTAGAAGTCCAAGAGAGATTTTATCTTATACAACTTTAAATTTTTAATTTTCAAAGTTTAAACTACAGAAAGAGAATGGAAGAAGGATTTCTAAAGCTCTACTACTGATTAACATCATGCTTCTACAACGATTAACATCGAGGCGAAGGTTGTCTAAGCTCTCTCTGCTATTCTGAGTAAAGGAAACTTGAAAGAAGAAGCAAGAGGTTCCAAAAAGATCCAATAAAATCAACCAAACGATATTTTTCCAAATCTCGTGGATTAAGATACGTACCATCTTTCTCATCATCAGAGCTTTCTTCTGACTTGATTTCTTGGTCTGAATCAGACCCAAAGACATCTTTATTTTCTTCCCTATAATTTGCAGAGGGCTTGTTAACCCTATTGGTGTGGTCTTGGACTGATGTCTTCACTGTGGATTTCTTTACAAGATTAAATTAAAATACTACCTTCTGAGTTTTCTTCTTCTGTCTTAACTTCTTGGGGATCTTTCCTGTAGACTTCTTTGCATTCTTAAATCCTGTAGGCTTGTTGAAAAGCAAATCATTGGCCCAAGCGCCTTGGTAGCTCTGCTCCAGTTCAGTCATTTCTCTAGCTGAGGTATGATACTCATAAGATCCATTGTAATTTTCCATATTATTTTATTTTCTAAAGTAAAGATTTTCATTTTTTCCTTCAGAAATAGGGGTTTTGGGGTTTTGGGGTTTTGGGG